GGTATTTGGCGTCGAACCGGACCTTGCCTTGTACCCAGTCGATGTGGGGGTTGTACTGGATGAGCCATGGCATTCCGAGAATGATGTCGTCCCGTCCGCAGTCCGCGACGTAGAGTTCGGTGGGGAACTCGTGGCCGTTGATTCGGAAGTGGCCTACGAATTTTTGGGTGACTGGTCCGGCCGTGTTGGCGGTGCCATCGACATTGGTGAAACGAAGGGGAGAGGGTAGGGTGATGAGAGGGAGTTTGTGCTTCTTGGCGAAATTTCGGTTAAGGAGAGAAGCACTTGCTCCGCAATCGATGAACGCGTGAGCTCCGACGCTTGTAGACTCGTACTCGATGCTGCCCAGGATAAGAATAGATTGACGTCGTCGTTCTGTAGTGGCAACAAACGAGATACTAATACAGTCAGAGGGCAGTTCTTCTGTCGGCGAAGACTGCCCGTTCAAAAACCCTCATCTGAATCGTCTACGTCGACCTGACTGATCGTCTTGTCAGGTGTGTCTTCACCATTGTCTTCATCGTCGGCGACTTCGCCACTCTCTAGTTCATCGACCTTGCGCACCTTCCGCTTCTTCTGTCCAGGCTGTCGTCCCTTGGCACGGTTGTCCGCCTTCTTCTTCACCAGTACACACTAGATAAATTTTTCGATCCTTATAGTTATAGTAAAACGCGAATTATTTGGCCCAAATGTTATAGTGGCCCCTCCAAATATTTGGGAGGGTTGGAGGGATGCCCCTCCCAGATATTTGAGGTGAACACCAAATATTTGGGACATACGTAGGGAGCAAGGGGAGGAGGGTACCCCTAAATATTCGCCAAATATTTGCTGTGAGTGCTACATAGGGAGGATCATATTCCACTTGCATGCGCTGTGGGTCCTCTTGTGATTCCTCCAAATATTTGAAGTCCGCCCCAAATATTTGGGTAAATATTTCACTCGAATGTTCTTCATTTGGTACAGCGTGACATGAGTGCTCATTATGGCTAATCTGCTACATGCTCTCAATTACGTCTAGACGAAGGCATCGTGCTGCGTCAACCAAGCTCGGACGTCAATAATGATGTCTTAGCCTTAGCTTTGGCAGGGCAAGGCGGCTGGAATACGGGCCCGGCGTCAGCAGGGGAAGGCGTGAGCGTGCACTTGTGCGTGAGGTGCGCGGCAGGCTTAGGCTTGATGATCAGCTTCCAGGGCGAGACCTTCCAGTCGAGCTCGTTCCAGGGCGCGATCTGCTGCCCGGCGAGCTGCGAAGCCTTCGACTGCATGTGCGACAGCTTGATGACTCTGGGCAGATCTGCGGACAACTGCGACTTGGCATACGGCCAGAGAGACATGATGGACGTCGTGCTCACGCAGCTCGCCCTTGAGCAGACTCCCGCGCTGGAGCATTGCACATCGCCTCAGAGGGCTCTCCTGGCTCGCGTGCTGCCAAGGCGTCAAATTGAGAGGTGTGCCGGTTATGCTTCCGGGAGTCACCTCGAGGTCGAGGTAGTTGATAAGCGAGGTCGTTCGTCGCAGCGTCGAGCAGTGAGAGGATAGCTACGCCATATCGTCAGTAACGACGCGTAAACCAAGTCTTCCTGCTCACCATCACCCTCGCTGTTCTCACAAATCGCCTGTGGCCTTGGGTGCTCCAACATCTGCTCCGAAACAGGACGCGCCCTCGACCGCTCAACAGTCATCGACCTTCTCGTTGTCCGTGGGCGGAGAATGCCCGTCCGCCGTCGCCTCCTCCATGCGCACCATCGGATGGTCCATGAGCGAGCCCGGGGGGGACGGCGAGCCCGTCGACTGCCTCTGCACGTCGACCTGCGTCTCGGGGAAGATCTCGGAGATGGGCGTGCGCCGGTGGGACTCGGATGACCGCCTGCTCTCGCGGCTCGTCTTCTTGCCCTCCTCCTTCTCTTTGTGCTCCTTCTCGTGGTCGTGCTGGCGCCACGTGCGCCGCTCCTGCCGCGTCATCCCAGCGGACGGAGACGACCGAGCTGCTCGACGAGCGCGCTGAGCACCCTGTCGAGTCGACAGAGATGCCCGAGATGGTGGACAGGGACTGGAGCGAGGAGCCGCTGGAGAGGATCGACGAAGGCCGTCCTTGGGCGTTCATGATCAGATGCGCCAAGTCGACCGAGAGGCGCTGTGCGGCCTGCGGGATCCCAGCGCCACTGCTGGGACCGATGGAAGATGCGGTCGAGCCGGTGGAGACGTCGCGCACGGTCAAGAGGCGCATCGAGCTGAGCGTGATCTCGATCGTCGATCCGTTCACGCTGCAACACGCACACGCAAGAAGTGTGTCGTCAGTGAGATCTACGGGAATGTGGCAGGCGGACTCACTTGTCGCGTTGAAGAATGGAGGGTGCAACGCGTCGAATTGTTGATCGGCGGATGGGACGCCAAGGGGACGAGATGGGGAGAGACACACCTGGACACCGCGAGGAGTCATGTCGAGCTCGGCGACAAGCTTCTTGCGGAGGGACGCGTTGGGCTTCATGTCATACTTGTGAACGCCCTAGAGAAACTTGAGTTGATCGCGAGTGGTGCGCTTGCGGTGCTTGACCTCGTTGCGGGTGTAGGAGTATAAAGTGCGGATATCGACCTGGGATGGATACATGCCCGGAGGGATGAGTGCTGGGACGCCAGTCCATACTGGCTGCGAGGGTAGCCGGGTTCCAAAGGGCAGAAACTGGTGAGGTATAGTTGGCATGCTCCCGTGCGTACGTGTTTGCGGAGACAGTTCGGACCTGTACAAGAAGATATCACACCAGGATAACAGAAATGAGCGTTCGTCACAAACAGAATTGCAGCATGTCTGTAAAAGAGAAAGACGTACCGAGCTTGCAGAAGCCTCAGTTGTAATCTGGACACTCCTCCCTTAAAATAATCGTGGAGACACTCGCCGCCAGCAGATCAGTACCATACTCGGCATACCACTAGCACTCGGGCATGCGGCAGAGGTTGTACTCATGCAAGACTCACGTGTTGCCCTTTCTACATAGCCCGCATAGCCAGTGCTTACAGACGGTCGCCAAGTGTTCGTGTTCACGAGGGTGCATGAGCATTGGTTTTGGCGGTTGAAAGTTCTGCATAGAGGACGTGGTGTGTCTGAGAGGACAGTGCAGTGGACGGATTGAGGATGCAGCTGGTGGATTCTGAAGCCGGAACCCAGGTGTGTGGCAGATAGGCGGAGACGAAGGAGACAGATGGAGGCCTGCGCAAGAGGGAGACGTGGCAGAGTGCGGAAGTTAGACGCTTGACGCGCCTGCTAGAGCAGGCGCGTCAAGCATGTCTGCTCCACCTTCAGCTCGCCAGCCTCCGCCTTGTTCAAGTTCACCTCTGATCCCCTCTCGCTGTGGATCTCCCCTGTCCACATCCTGGGGACTCACATACAGTATTTCCATCGCACCACCGCGAGTCCCAGGATCACGACGCCTTCTGCTACCAGACGATTTCGCGAGATCCGCCAGGCATTGAACAATACAGACGTGACGGAAGGCCGCCTGAGAACAGATGCTTTGTTGGTCCTGGCCCTCGGCTACACTCTCCGTCTAACCACACAGCGCCCGCCACCCAATACTCCTTTAGCTCAGATCGGTAGTGTTTGCGTTGAATGCCGGCCATTATGCACGCCAGGCCGTGCGGGATCTTCTCGTGCAACACAATGGGTGAAATGTCTGGCTCGTGGAACGGCGGCAGCCCAGAGAGCATCTCGAAGATGAGCACCCCGAGGGCGTACCGATCCACACTTTTGTTGTATCACATATTGCCAATAACCTACATACAGCTGGGGTCAGCGAAGATCGCGGAGACGGGCAAGAATGTTGTCAGGGGAGCTGGCTCTTTCCTCGAGTGCAAGATAGTCTGGGGTATCACACAGCGTCCAGACAGTCGTCGTGCAGTGCTTGGCGGAGCTGAAATCTGCGATCTTGATCCATGTTTTCAGGCTTCAGCTCTCAATAGATGATGCCCTTTGAGTGGAGATAGTTGAGCTCGAGCGCGACGTTTGTGGCGTAGAGTTTTGCTACGGGGTCCGGGAAGCGCTGTCCGTGGCCGCGGTAGGGTAGTGGCCTCGCTTGAAGAAGTCCTTGCCCGCCTTGCCTGTGATCTTCAAGGCCATCATCTCCTCTTGCTAGGTTGGCACCTACGCCTCCGAATGGGCTCATAAGTGTCCCGGCTGGCCGAGGACCGTCATGCCTGGGGCGTGCTTCCACTTATGGTCGAGCGGCATGTGGTACAGGGTAGGAGCGAGGCAGTACCGAGACGAGGAGGCAGGAGCAGACACGGTGACGAGACACCGACGGGGCAACCGCGTGCGCTAAGAGCAGCTGAGAGTAGGCAGTGGAAGAGAGTCCCTCGAAGTTGTGTGTCGGAGTATGTCATAGAGAGGACGGAGAGTGTGCCTTGCGAAGTGGCTGTTGAGGCCGCAACGCGACGGAAGGCAGGCGAGCAGGCGAGTAGCGGCTCGCCCTCCGTAGAATTCTTACCGTCATTAGTAGGCATGTGATGGCGTCTGCCGCCGACCAGTTATGAAATGTGTCCGACTTTGGTGCTGGAACCCCTGCCCCGATGATGAACAGGCTGTACCAGATTGTCGGGCGACTTGGCGAGGATGGCTGCGATCTGTGTTGTGAGGTCGTTGTCTTGTAGGAGGATTGCGCGCCAGCCCCTCGAGATGAGGGTCTGAGGGGGGGCGACTGGGACCCACTTGGGTTTCTCACTAGTGGAGCTACGCACAATGCGCAATGTTGACGGTGCACAGGCACAAACTTAGCGGAAGTTGCAGGCTCTAGGACATAGTTTATAGGATGGAAAACGATGCAAAGAACAGACACAGTGGTAGGGAGCACGACCAGAAGTATGATCACAGGGGAATGACGTACTCTTCCTGCAACTGTGCCCTCCAGAAGCTTCTCTCTCCTGTCATATCGTCCTCACCAGTCTCCTTCGCCCTTCCCTCTACAAGGCTATTGGCAGTATCTGGAGGCGTTGCGGCAGCTTGACCCACTTCCGGCCAGCTTTCAGCGTCGTCGATCGCAGGAGGGATCGTGTTGGAGGGTGGTGTGGGGTTCAGCACAGACGGTGACCGGCCGGGGTTCGCCACGAAAGGATCGTCGTAGTCGGCGGATGGGCAAGATGTCCATTCGAACTTCAGGGAGGCATGCTCCGCAAAGACTTGACCGAGATTTTTGCACAAGCACTGAAGCACTGGCAGAATGTCCAGCTGAGAAGTCGAGATTGGAGGGTGGCGGAGAAGAGGCTGAAGAGGCAGCTATGTTGAGATTGACGGTGGACGAAGGCACGAGCTGCGAAGGTTGCGATAATTGTGTTCATGGGGATACGCGCGATGACGATGCCAGCTCTGCTGTGTGCTTGTCCCATACATTGAGCGCAGGCACTGTGGACTGCCATGGGGTCAATAGTGCAGGCGGATCGGAGGACTCAGGCCCGTGAAGGTAGTTTACGTCACCGTTGGGCCTGGGGTTAGAAGAGTGCTACCGAAGACAGCGAGGTTGGCTTAGCAAGAAGTGGCCGCGGGCAAAATTCGAGGATCCGTGCCGCTGGGTATCAGAAGCGAGGATCTCGAGGCAGATAGTGATACAACATTGGGCCGTGTGGCTGCAGAGCTGGAAATAGCGGGGACTATTGGAGACGTACCCTGTGATGACGCACGCGAGGTTAGTTGTTAGGGCGCAGACGGTCATGCATTTTGCTGAGCTTTCTTGGCGCGATCCACATAGGAAAGTGGCAGGTTGGTGGGGGTTAATGGCGCAGGAGAGTCCAATTGTTCTGCTGTAGTAGTAAAAGCTGCGTAGAAGGAGATACGGGTGCCAGACGTAGTGAAGATGGACGAGCAAGCACAGAAATGAGTCAAGAAAAGCAGATAATGAAGGGCACAGCGCTTGATAATTCCGTGACGCTGTGGCCACTGGACAGGAGAGTACTGTGGTCAGGAGAGCTTGGAGGGCGACCAGGGAGGCACGGGAAGTTAGACGCACCGGCAGGCGGGTCAAGCGTCTAACTTTCACACTCTGCCACGTCTCCCACTGTGCAGGCTCCCATCTATCTCCGTCTTTCGCTCTACCCGGTACCGTCTTTGTACCCCTGGCCGCCCGGACAATGCAGGAGTGAGGAAGCTGAGGCGGCGGGGGGAGGAGAGGAAGGGACGAGACATCGGTGTCTTGTTCCCGCACCTCAACGACGCGCCCGTCCCACCTGCCTCCTCGTTTCTTTCATCCCGTGGTCGCTGACGGCGATCCCAATCGGAACAAGCTCACAATGCATCCCAAGGCAGTCGTCTGCCAAGATGTCGAGGTCAAAGGTGACATCACCATTGGTGCCGGTAAGCCACCCATGCTCCTGTCCATTCGCGCGTGCACTCATCCAGAGGTGCGATTGTCCGCCCCAAGGACGCTGATTTCGCTATAGCCGGCCCCATCGTCATTGGCTCGGGCTGCATCATAGAGCGGGCAACCGCAACAGACGGTGAGTAATCCATTTCCTGCAGCTGTAGGTGGCTCGCAACCTCGGCCTCGGCCGCCTCCCCCGCTTTGCTGTCTACGCCCGCTGTGGTCTCTTCAAGGGCCAGAAAGCACCTGCTTCTCGAGGCCCACACGACGAGGGAGTGAGAAGAACAGCTTGGACGCGTATCGTCCTAACCAAGAAGGCACCCGGCGGAAGACGTCTTCCAACCCACAGAGGGTTGGGGAGTCTCTCATCACTACCAGTACGTCCTCGTCCTCCTTGCGTGTCGCTTCTATGGTAACATACTTGCAGGCGTATCGAGGACACCGCCAAACTCGGTCAAGTCCTCCAGTACAGACATGTGCCCCAGGCACGATGTGCTCTGCCCGCTCCCTCTCTTCCTCCTCTAGCTCGGACATTACTGAGCCCATCTCTCCTCAGCCTCAGCAGTGTTTCTCCGGCATGACCTTCCCCATTGCTGAGATCCTGGCCAACAATGTTTTCTGTCTCCTCGACAACCACAAGGACGATCGCAAGCGGATCTCCGCCCGTGCCTTCGGTAACTGGATCAAGGATTTGCCCAATCTCCTGGGCGATCCGTGGACATACTCGCAACATCTCTATTGCCTCTGCGCAGGGCCATCGCCTTCCATTCCTTACTCCTGCCGTCATCTGTTCGGGACTCTGTCGTCGCTGGGGAGGGTATGTCCCGTCGTACCTCTCGCAACCTCTCACGGGCTCGCTCCTAGGGTCCTGCGTTCGAGCACAAGCATGGGAGTCCTATCACGCTCTCGCCTGTTCCCGACGGCGAGACTGAGCAGGGGGGCGCTATGGACTTCCTTCATGACCATCATAACCAGCACGATGCCGAAGCAGAGATGGAGGGCAAGTCAGGTTGCCGCTCGACGTCCACTTATAAGCGACGCAAGCGCGGCGTTGCAAGGGCAAGGGCACCACAACGACATCCCCGACGAGTCTGTCGTCCGCGCATGACGTTACCCTCCAGACGCTCGCACAAGCCTCTCAAGCATTGGCCCGCGAGATCCCCCGCACTTCGCGATACTCGGCCACCACGCCAATGCCCGCCACTCCCGACGTTCGTCCAGTACCGTATTTTGTTTCTCTTGGTATGGCATTGCCGCTAATCGCTCTTCCATCCCTCCTTCTCTTACTTCTCTCGGTTCCTCCACCGGATGGATCTCCAAGAAGACGTCAAAGTGGAAGCTGTCCTTCGGGAAGAACAACGCCAACGCCACTGCTGGTGCAACGTCGTTGCTCGCAGCTGAAGATGGCCCCAGCCTTCCTGACGTACCAAGTTCGGGTGGCAAGCAGATGTCTGTGATCGCAAGCAACGTCACGAATCTACTCATAAGCCTGAATGCTCCTCCTGCACCTTCTGCCGCGTCACCGCATGCTATCCTCCCGAGCGAGACCGCGACCGCGACCGCGAATTCGGGCCTTGGTGAAGATGACGGTATGGTTCGTGGAGCCGCGGTCGCCGTCCCAAGAACATGCCATACTCTGCCAGTCTGAACGGGAGCAGCGCATGGGGTCCCTCCTCCGGCTCTCCGTTCTGGTCGTCGCAAGCTCGCGGAAGTCCGAACGACGCTATAGCGGACCCAACGGCAACACCGAGGACAAAAGATCCGAGCACGGGATCTCGCCGTCCAGCACCCGGAGCGGGCGACCGCTGGCGTCAAGCGCGAGTTCGATGGCGTCCAGCAACTGGGGCAGCTTGGAGGGCGCTCGTTCTGCCACGAATGGGTTCCTTGTCCTCCGCTAGCAGTAGATGTAGTTTGCAGATGTAGTCGAGAGCGTGTAATCGATTAGCCTGAATGAGCACCCGTCACCGCGCACACCGCGGTACTGAATGGAGCATATCTGGGTGAATTATTTATCAAATATTTGGAGCAATCACAAAGGGGACCCACAGCGCACGCAGAGCACGGTCCTTGCTATGTAGCGCTGAGACTAAATATTTGGAAAATATTTGGTGGAGGGGGAGTACCCTCCTCCCCTCGCTCCTACATACATCCCAAATATTTGGGGTTCGCCTCGAATATTTGGGAGGGGCATCCCTCCAACCATCTCAAATATTTGGAAGGGCCACTATAACATTTGGGCCAAATAATTCGCGTTTTACTATAACTATAAGGATCGAAAAATTTATCTAACTGATATCCCTGTCTTCTTAAGGCAGTCGCGTGCGATGTGACCAGTCTTGTGGCAGTAGAAGCATTGCTTCTTCTCTCTGTCTTCCTTCATGGCTGGAGCGTCGACTCGTCGTATGGAGTTGGTACGAGCGGACTGTCCCTTTGTGCCTTGGCCCTGCCGGTCGTTGCGAGAGCGTCCCTCGAGTTGGCGCAGGTGTCGTTCCTCGTAGTTGGAGTGTTCGATTTCCAACACCCGTGCTGCCCACTCATTAACGGTGGTGGGGATGGGGTACGTGAGGCGAACCCGTCGTCGCATGCTTTCTGGGAGACACTCCTTATAAAAGGACAGCTGAGCACTGTCTTCGAGTATACCGGCGAGGGCGCAGAGGCGGAAGAATTCCGCATTGAAGGTGTCTGGTGCGGCAGGTCGATAGTCGAGGTGGTACAGCTTGGAGGCGGCCGTAGC